AATGTGGCTTTTTTCGGTGAAAGTATGTGGCTGGTTTTGCAGTACCTCAGTCTCCGTATGCGACTGATGCAATTCCTGTTCGTCCAGTGTCCGATCTGCTGAAAGCTCTAGGGTTCACAGTTGGCGTGAGTGTTGCTGTTTTCGTAGTTTTCATAGTGTTTTCTATATAAAAGGTTCTGATGTCAGGTCGGAGCTGTTGCATTCAGTGTGGCTGCAATCGCTGACTACAGGCAAAAACAAAATGCGATCCATCTCACAGGTTTCACGTTTGACAGCAGAACAGGACTACCTATGGCGACTTTTTCTAGGTAAGTTCGTCGAAGTTTTTTCTACTTCCTATGTATATGGGACGCGCTATGACACTTTCTTAAGCAGAGGTCAGACTTTGTGGCGGACGCAGCCAACGTAATAAGTGCGCTGCAACGCAAGCCCAACGGGGTTTTCAATCGTTTTGTCGCGAAGTTTGGCTCCCCACTTTCTTCACGATTTGGGGCGCGGCCGCGGCGAGCGCGGACGAGTCGATAGTGCCCGCGAACTGTGCGGGTAAATTTGAAAACGCTCCACCACCACAGTTCGCGGGCACTGTGGACTCGTCCGCGCTCGCCGCGGCCGCGCCCCAAATCGTTAAGAAAGTGGGGGAGCCAAGAAGTTTGTTTCAAAACTAGTTCGTTTGTTTTGCTTACTGTTTAGCTTGTAACATCGCAGCGGCGCGCGAGTATAATCGTCGGGCTTGCCGGCTATAATCGTTGCTGCGCGACCAGTTATTCCATTTGGTGTGTATGTCGCGGTCTGACGTCTGCCTCGCGTTCAGTAAACTCGGGATAAGTATTTGAGGTGTCGTGATGTCTCAAATGTTTCTTGTCACCGTCCTTCCGAGGAATCTGAAACCATCTTTTCACACTCCTTGGTGGTGAGAGTGAGAATTTTTAGATTTAGTGGTGCCAAACAAGGATGGTGGGACCAGCTGACCGACGGTGACAAATGCGCTCTCTTCTTGGTGTGCGGTGAGCTTTCCTTTTTTGAGCTCTGCGGTTGCCTTCAAACCAAATGCCAGCGTACACATGCACTTGTTTAGTCTGTCTTATATCCTACGTTATACGAAGGAGATCAGGAGACTCAGCTGGAAAGCTGAGTCTCCTGATCTCCTAATCTTCCAGGAGACTTCGATGGAAAGCTTAGATTTGCATTAATTGGCTCGTGGGAATCTTGATCTCCTACGCTCCTGTTCTCCCAATCACTGCTATCTAGCCTTTTCAACTAATTCTCTTAGCCTCCAAATCGGTGA